TAAAGTTGAGACTCTTTTCCATTTTTGTGACCAGTTTCTTTGGGGCTGGGTAGGAAAAAAGGCAGCTTTCTGTTTTATAAAAAGTTACGTTTTTTTGTTGATTGAAACATCTCAGTGTTTATTTGTCAAGTTTTGAAACATTTTCGTATATGTCCAAATACTTGGCAGGATTTAAAAAAAAAAGTAGTGAATTTGGTGTAAAGTTGCTATTTTATGGAAATGCCTCTAACTTTACATTTTCATTCCATCTGTAGATTTTTCTATCTTTATAAAATATTGGAGTTATTTTTTAAGGGAAAAAATAGAGCAGTAGCGTGTGAATAGCTCAAACTAAGCTTACAGATCGCATGTAAAAAGGCAAAAGTTATTTGTGTCTGTTTATATTGCTTCCTTTTTTGTAGCCTTTGTACCTGTACAGAGTGACTGTAAGGGCCGAACAGAAGAGGCTTGATACATGTAAAAATAGGACCCAGTGACACTCTTGTATTTATCTGTTATCTTTTTAGTCAGTCACTTAAAAAAATACCCACAGAAGACCCACCCAAGCAACAAAAACAAAAACTGCAAAAAACTACACCCCCCCCCTCCCAAGCTGTACATTTTAACATAAAATAAATTATGATGAGCCATTTTTAGCCTCTTGTGTCTTGTCATAGTTTGATGTTGCATGGGAATTACCTCCTGAAACAGTGTTTGTTACAGTGCTCTCACATGCTTCATCTAAAGCCCATTGAAGTTGGTGGGGTTTGGATTAGGCTGTTTAGAGCTTAAGTGTAGGTTACTCATCATAATTGCATACACCTTGTGAAAATAAAGAATACCTAAGATTATTTTTTTTAATAATCTTAAAATATTGAATAAATATGTATTTAATACCTTACAAGGTTGTCAATATTTCATGTATGAAACTTCTTTCCTACAGAAAGTGTGACTATATATATATATATATAAAAAAGGATATATGATAGTAACAGACATGGTGTTTGAACTGTATTTTAATGATAGAATTGTAATCTCTTCCTTTGTCATCGTTACTGGGTGACAAGATGATGCAAATCCTGTGTTGGATCTATGGGTTCTGTGTATATGCATGTATTTGGGCACACACAAACATACACAGAGATAGGCATTTCTCATCTAGCAGTAGAAGGTCTGCTAAAGACAAGAAGGCTGTCTATATGTGGATCTTGTGAGTGGATAAATTCAAATGTGGGATATGTGAACCTACACCAAAGTCCTTGTAATAATTTTTCAGAATGCTTCTAATGTGGATGTTGCCACTGTCACTGCAGTAAGGTTGCTAGCTAAGCTGAAAGAAGTGGCCATCTGGGGACTGAAAACTGTCCCCATTCCAGTATATGAAACAGATTTAAAGGTAATATTTCATATATCTATAAGTCAAAGAAATTTGTATTTCTCTAATTAAAACCATTACTGTGTGGTGGTGCCAAATCAAGAAACTGATACTACAGATTCATGAGCATGACCAGTTCAGTTTTTATACAGTGGAGCAGCAGTCTAAAATGGTGATTCTGAATGAGAGCTAAAATTGCTGGTCAAATGGTAATCTGAAATAACTTGTGTTTTAGGAGTTCAGAACATCTGATAAGGAAAGCACAATACAACAAAGATCGTGGTTCATGCCCTTACATCATCAGTTTTGTTGATTGAAAGCAGAGAGCTTAAACTTTATTTTCATCTTCACAAAGTAACTCACCTTTTTCATGTTTAGGAAAAGGAAAGTGGAAATCAACACAGTTATGTGCAGCCTTCAGATGTGTTTAGCTGCTGCCCTATCTGTGTTAAATAATTGCATCTCAAAGTAGCATTATGTTTTGTGGTTTTTCATTTGTGTGTTTTTACAGTGAGTGAAAAAGGCACCTGGGTCTTTACCTGCTGCTGTTGAGTTTCAAGTTTTGAAGCCTGTAACATCCAGGCAAATCAAACCTTCTTACCATTTCAAATATTTATTAACATGAAATAGAGTATCCTGACTCCAACATATTGCTAGAATTCTGTATTTTCAATATATGGGTTAAGAGTTGGTTGGGAAATGATGCAGAGTGTGTGCACAACAGGCAAGTTTCCAGTATAATTTGTTATTTCAGAATTGAATTCCTTTTGTGAGGACAACGTACTATCTTACATGTTTTTTCATAACAGCTCTTAGCTGTGAATTGCATTATGGCACTAAAATTTTTGATAAATAATAAGGTTGTCTTTTCCTTGACAGACATACTTGTTCTCTGTATTGTATGCACCTTGCAGTGTCAGTTTTGTCTGTGTGCTCAACACCATCCCAGAGGGGAATGAGCTCTTGCTTTTACTGTCTTCAAAAAATTCTTCACAGAATTGCAATAGATGATTCTTGTGAAAGGCAGGAGGCTTCCTTGACCACGCACTGTTAGAGAACGCTCCATGCCACTGCTGGTTGGCAAGAAGGGAATCAACTTGCCTTGTTCAGTGTGTGTTTCCTGCAGACTTTTCTTGTAGCTGGAGTTGGTGCTGCTGACACTTGTGAATCAGCTGATTAGCAGCTTGCAAGAGTTGCCTCACTCTGTGGAAGTCACATGTGCCAGTACTTCTGCTTTTCTGATTTAGTCTCATTAATTCTGGGAGCATTAGGCAAAAAAAAGCTGGGAAGTAAATGAAAAGTATATTTACTTCAGAACTGCTTAACTGGCACAGCTGTGCCAGCAGAGTCCTTCAGGCAAGACCTGGTTCTAGGAAAGATACTTGTCTGTGAAGCAGGACATGGTTCGCCTGGAAGCTGCCAAATGCCAGTACTCCTGGAAGCTGCACTCAGCCCTTGAGCAATGACAGGAGGGGTAAGTGTTGTTGCACTCAGGCTGCCTGATCCCCTAGCAGTGGGCAGAATGTAACCCATTTTTTAAATAACATTGTAAGAATTCTGGTATAAGCAGAAATGAAGGACTGCTAAAGGCACTAATCTTCCATGTTAGATCATTGTCTATGTCTCTCAGTTTTATAAGCTGTTTAGTTTGTCCATCTGGCAGGGTGGTTGATGGAAACGAACTCCATTTGTATCAGCATGATAAATAGAAAGAATTGCCCTGGCAATTTTCTGTAGTGCTGAGGGTGATCAATTATGCATGTAAATCAATGACAAATCCTCTTTCAGTTACAGCAGTCATCAAGCTTTCATGCAAGGTACAAGAAATAAGACAACCTGTAGCTTGATAAAGAAAATCCTTACAGATATTTGTTATCTATTAGTTTATCATTTGATACAGAATTCCTGTCTGTAAAGCAAATGCTAAGAAACATTCAGCTTTCACTGCCAGTGTAAAGGAAAGCGGGGCCATGCAAGGCAGGTTTGTCCAACACAAGGCTGGGAGAGCTGTTGTGTGTCTGGGCTGTGAATTAAACTGCAGCAGACAGTGGGGTGGTGTGGAAAGGTGCATTTGAAGGTCTGTGGAAGTAGACAGGGTTGAGGGACTCCATCCAACCCACACTGTGAGTGCTTATTTATTTTTGAAATGTCAAATTTCTTCCTTTGAGTTTCCTATTGTTTCTGTGGGTTTTTTCCAGTGGGACTTTTCCCCTCCTAATACAGGTATAGAGATACTTAATTTTCTCAAAGTCCCAGAGTTTGTGTATCTCTATCATGAATATTGTTCACATTGTGATACCTAATTTGGTTTTTGGTAGTAGTTTAGTTATGTTAAATGTGATCTGTCTTTGTGAGAATTTAAAGATAAGGTGTTTTATATGCAGATAAATCCAAATGATAGATCAAAAGCACTGCATTATGGTTATCTGAAGCCTTGGCTACAGTTATTGTTTGGAGATGAATGATTTACTGGGTTTTGTGCCCCAGGAGGAAGTAAAGGAATAGAAAAGCCTTCACACCAGAAGGTGGCAAGCCTATGGAGCTCTTTTAACATCTACAAAAAATATATAAAGTTGTGCTCATCTCTGGTTAGTAGCACATCCTTGCAGTTCTCAGTGGCACATTTCTGCCCTGTATTTTTGTTTTCAAGTATCCAGACTTACACAGTTCATACTGTAGCAAAGTTGCAAAGTCTTTTGTCAGCTGGTAAAGACCAAGAGAACTCTCCTGTGTGCTTGATGGCCAGGTCATTCCTCTCAGCACTGAGCAAATACCTCCTATCTGATACATTAAATTAGGTAAAATTCTGATAGGGAGGGTGAGGACCTCACCTTTTGCAGATGCAGCAAAGGTAAGTGTGGCTTGTGAAGTACATTTTAAGAATATCAAATGCTTGTGGGAGCACAACAACCTATTAAGGAGGCTAAAGCTGAGATAGGAGGAAATATTTGGTATTGATAGATCTGAACAGTGTCTGGAAGCACTCCAGCAGCTTTCTTGTGCTGTTAGGTCACTGAGAGGCAATTTTTTTAAAGGCTTCATTGGTATCTCTTTCCTTTCATAAAATCTCATTGGTACTGGTTATAATCCATTATTATTTGGGGAGCTGTTGGACCTCTACAAGTTCAGCGTTGAACTTCATCATAACAATGTGAAGGAAATGATTCTTGCAGCTGAAGGATCTAAGACAAGTTAAGCAATTTATAACTGCAAGTCCTAAAATGCCACATGTATCTATCTCCTTGAATTGTTGTCCATTGTAACTGCTCATGCATCTGACCTTCTCAAGGGTGTTGCTTTGTTTCTAGTTCTCATGATGAGGTTAAGCCTCATGTAGAGGCTCTCTAACTGCTGTGCTGCCCTGGGCTATCACTGTGGAAAAACTTCCAGGAAACAGCAGGAAAAGGCAAACCCTTCAGGACTCTGGACTAAACAAGTCAGTGTTTTTCTGCAAGATTTCTTCAGGAGTGCTTATCTGCACTCCTTTAAAAGCTGTGGGCTTGAGTTAGGATCAGGATTTTGGGGCTACTCAGCTAAAAGAGAGCGTTAAGTTGTGCTTGCTTTTGTGTTGTAAATGTTTGGGGTTTTTTTGCAGGGAGAAATACTTATTTGTTGCTGTAACAAAGAATTCTGCTAAGGCTGGAACTTTGGAAGATGATGGGTTTTAAATTTGGTTTCCCTTCTTTCTCATCTTGACATTGTATTTGAAATGACTTTGTGTTTTTTCCTAGCAAATAACAAATGCTCCTTGTGACTGTGTAATTAACTACACCTTCCCCTCCCCTCCTTTTATGGAGTTTCTTTTCCAGCAGCACAGCTGTGCCAGGACAATGCTAGATGGTGGTGCTGTTCTGCTGCTCAGCAGGTGCTAGGCTGTTCTTGCTGTTCCTCCTCTGCAGTGCCAGCTCTATGTCCAGTTCTCTCAGCTGCTTCAAGAAGCCCCGGTTTGGCAGGATGCAGCGGTGCCTTGACACTTGCTCAATGGCATCCACCACTGTCATGTTCTTGTAAATCATCAGGTAAGCCAAGACCAGCGTGGCTGAGCGGCTGCGGCCCATAGCGCAGTGAACCAGCACCTTGCCTGTGGAAACAAAGGGACACCATCACAGTGACACTGGGTCATCCTTTCCTTTCCACACTGAAGGTTTCTGCAATGCCCCTGCTCTGTTTGGTCTCTGACTACCCTTACCAGCACTCAATAAGCCTCTCTTTTCACATGAGGGAAAACTGAGGCTGTAAATCTTGCAGCTGAATACCATCTACAGTAGGGATGATCCATTTAATCCTACACCAAATATCTTTTTATTTGTGAACAAAGCTTGCAGAGAAGGCCTGGGGGCTGTATTAACTATCATAGCAAGCCCTGCTGCAGCCTTGTCTTGCATGCCACATGAACAATGTGTATGCAATTCTGTGTTTGGGAATAATGACCAAAGCACAAGGGTGTGGGAGGGTTTGGTGTGCTCTCAGACCATCCTTCCATGAGAATAATTTGAATGCATGGGGGGTGCCTTTCTCTCTAGTTCTACTAACTAAACACAAGAAGTAACCAAATTTGATTTTGGTTTTTTGTTCTGACAATAATGTCCTTTGAGATCTAGATTGCATCGCTTTATGCCCTTTTTTGAGGGCAGAGGATAAAAAAGGCCGTAGGCATATAACCAGGGGGTGGAAAGAAACCACCTCTTATACTGTAGAAAAGCTTCTGTAGAAATTTCTGGCTAGCACCCTGTTATGCTGCATGCAAGTAATGTTTCACCACCACCATCATCTGAGTGTTGTAATACGATCATCTCCTTGCAGTAGGAGCCTGTCTCGTATCCTGTGAGTGCAGAGTCTTTGCCAAGAGTTTTCACCTCCAAATAAACATGCCACAGTTTAACTCTTTGACACTGCCTGGCTTTAACTTGGGGCTTCCAGAGGCAGAATGTCCTTAGCTTTGGATAGTAACAAGGTTGTAAGTCAAAGTGGAGCCTTCCGTGCTAGCAGTATCTGGAGGAGGTGGAGGAAGGAAACAGTAAGTGGGTTCAGGTCTGATTGACAGGTTTTGAAACACTTCAAAAGATTTCCAAAAATGATTCAAAGCCCTCGAGGGGTTCTCGCAAAAAGGTTGAACTGCTGAAGGAAGTAGATTTGGAGCACACTCTCTAACACCCTGCTAAGCAGAATTGCCACAGGAGAAAAAAATAAAAACCGTGCTATCAGGTCCAATAATAGTTTATCTCTGTCAGCTATGCCTGGTGAGAAGTGCTGGGTGCAAAGCCATGACTCCTGACGATTAACTCCTTTGCTTCCAGGCACAAGTGGATGCCTTGGCACAAGCAGCACTGCTGTGTAATGCATGCATCAAGAACTGCCAACACTAAAGGATTAATGGTTACAGTCTGCATTCTAATCCCAGCAGATAGTCTTTGAGGCATCTTGGCAAAATTCCAGTCCTTCTGATAACTAAAAGTGCCTCTTCCTCTCCTGGAAAATGATAATCCATTCTATTATTACTGCAAATATTTGAAGTGGATGAAAACACTCATTTGTTCAGCCCTTCAGTGCTTCTCTTTAGAGCTTCCCACCTTGTAAATCTGTTGCTGTTGAGGTGATAAAATACATGATGGGACAAGCAACGCTTTGCTTTGTGTGGATGGCAGATGCAGGAGATCTAGGAGAAAATAGTTTTGTACTGTGTTAACAAAGGCAAAAAATGGCTGTACAACCTTCTGAAATGTGCACTGGTTTGCAAAAAAGGAAGTCTGTCCTCTGCTCTGTGTGAATACTTAAGAGCCAGCTGCCTGCTACAGCAGAACACTGACACTTTTGCAGAGCCATGTCCCTTCTGTATAATTTTGTAGTCTCTTTTCCATTCTAATATAAGGACCACTCTGAACCCTCATTCCCCAAAAGGGAGTCTGCTCTTGCAGTCTTGGATTCTGACCACTTATATCTCCAAGGTGTGCCAGAATATGCAGTATCAGTGTACAGAGACAGAGGTCTGCTGAGTGGTGACAGGTTTCTGAAATACTTCGTTCACTTGAACTTGGGTTTGTGTTTCTTGAAAATTGGTCTAGATGCAGCACTGCTTTTCCAGAATCAGTTGGATTCATGAATTTTGAGATGCCTTTGGTCAAAAGCCTCAGGTCTTCGTATCTGTCTCGTGATTCTTCCCACTTGTTTTCTTTTAAAATCTCTGTCTTTAGTGTATTTTCCCCTGACATGAAAATGCCATTCCCGTCTATTCTACATTCTGAAGAGCCAAAATTCCAAGGGAATGACTATTAAATCTGTAGCTTAGTAGGAAACCTAAAAGCTTCTTAAAATACTGTCTTCCTTTTATATTATACAGGCCTCACTGATAAAACTTTTAAACTGTTCTATGGTCTGAACTGCATGTTTTGGTGAAGCTTCTTGCACAGCTGAATGACAGCACACATAATTGTGGCCCATTAGAATTTGCCTCTAAATCTTACTCTTATAACTGTTTTTATGTCCATCAGCCCATGCTTAAACCCTGCAAATACTGTTCTGATCAGGGAGTTTCTTCACCATCATGATGATTTTGAATGTTAAGTCAGAATTAGGACAGAATTTTGACAGCATCCAAATTTCTGGTCTGTTTCAGAGAGGGTCTTCTTCATTAGAATGACAACTTGTATCAACAGCATTGACTGTTGAGCATCTTCCCAGCAAAAATCATTATATGAAGATATCTATTCAATTAATTTGATCATTTGGCTGAAGGTCATACCCCAGATATAGCCAGAATGTGATAGAGCCAGAGTAAATTCATTAACACATACATTCTGGTCACACAAGCTGAAGCTTTTTCGTTTCACCCTCTTTTCATCTCCGCATTTGCTCAGTTCTGATACAAAGCAGCAACACAATGCAAAGCTGTTACTGATCAGAAGTATTTAGCACCACAGTCTGAAGTCCCATGTCATCGCCACTGGAGATAAGTGCTTGGTTACTTCATACAAAATCCTGTTTAAGAATCTGGATGTTCTTTGTCAGTCAGGAAGGTGCACACAAAATAGCCTGTTCATTTGGCATTTGAAACGCAGAACACCTTTCTGCACTAGATGTGCATTCATAAATAATACATTTATGTTGTTGGAGGACAGCACTGGGTACCTCTACTCTTTTCTTCCATCTGAGGCATCAGTCCACACTTTGGTCCAGCTTCTGGAGTCATTCTATTCTGTAAATGTGTGTATTGGAAAGTTACTGTCATGCTTTAAACCTCTGTGTCATCATGCATATCTGTGGCTGGGATAAGAGGTGTACATACATACATTATACTTTTCCTTCATGAGAAAGTTAGAAGCTTGCTCCTTTTCTTCATGAGTATTACAGTAGTTCTTTATTTTATTGGTCTTCATCAGGAAAGATCCTAGCTAACTTCTTTAAAAGCCATGTGAATGTGGCAGAAATTACTACAGCTACAGAAATCACTGCAATTTGTAGTAACTACTTGAGTGCAGATTTCTGTTTGTTTTGTTTTGTTTGTTCACCCAGTCACTCTTCAATTTGGTTTTGTGCTCCACTGCTGGACTGGTGCTTGCTACTGTCTCAGGGCTTCCTGGACTTTGATGTGGTTTTGAAACAAAAAGGTTAACATGCCCCCATCTCATCCTTTCCTCCTACAATATTTATTGGGAAGCAAGGCTTTTTTCTTGCCCTTGCTGCTTCCCTTGTGCTTGTTTCTTTACCTCAGTACAGCAGACTAAAGTCTTACGGGAACAGGAGGATGGTAGGAATGAGGAATTCTGCATTTCTTATTCCAGCTACTCCAGTCTGACACTGACCTCTGGCCTCCAGCCACGGCTAGACACAGGTGTGTGTTAGTTATCCTCTCCTTTCCAAAGGCAGTGCTTCAGACACACTTGTTTGAAATGCTGGCTATCTTTCTTCATAAGCAAGTCAGCTCCTGAAGCAGTTTCTCCTGCTATTAGGACTTTGATTTTTGAAACTGATCTGCTTTCAAGGTTTTCTCCTGAGCAAGGGAAGGAACTGTTGTGTGGACTGTACTTGCTGAAAGGGTAAAATTGTAAAGACCTGGCTGGCTATTGGAAGCAAGTCAGGTAGTAACTGCCTGCAGCTGAGCTAGACAACCAAGAACAGAAGCTGACACAAGGCTAGAAACTTGATATCTGACCCTCTGATATTAAGGTCTCTATAGGTCAGGAAAGTTATATGTTTCTCAACTGGTTTCTGGTAAAATATCCTGCTGAGATATTTTTTAAAAGTATGTGGGGGGAAGGAGTAGGAGTAATATTGAAAGTCAGTGTGAGGCCTAGGCTGTAACACTTCACATCAGTGTAAAGCTTTCTGATAGAACGCTGCTGGAGATCAGCAAATAATGAATTGTAGTAATCAAGCTGAGAAATTACAAACACTTTAATGAAATGTTTCTAGATTACTGCTGTCAGAACTGTATCAGTTCCCTGCTGCTTGGAAGATGGCAGAGAGATAAATGTTATAGGTTGTGGTTGATCTGATGGTCAGGTAGGAAGGGTGGTCTCTGTAGAGAGAATCTAATGCTGCAGAGCATGAAGCTGTGGAATGACAGCATGGAATGTCTGAGGCCACTTGTGTTCTTCTCCCACCACTATGCAACTAATATTCATTAAACCTTTCTTGATAGGGACTAATTAGGAAAAGGAGGAAAAAACTGCATATTCTTGGCACCTGTGCAATATCCAGTTGTCTCTGATGTGTTTTTGGAGAAGTCAAAACAACAACAAAAAATGTCTGTCACACAGAACCCCTTGATACAAGCTGTATGAGAACTTTGACAAAAGTGCTTGGTAAGGGGCTCTTGGGGGCATATTTGTGAGAAGGGTCCTAATTACATCACTGCCTTCTCTCAGACTCTTTCCCTACAAGTTTTATAGTCTTTGTTAAACTATATTGGACTTGTTTCATTCCCACGAGGTTAAATGCCATGGAACTATGCTTTTAATTAGATGTGGTAAATATTATACTGGTTTGAACCATTTTCAGCAGCCTCCTTACTTCTTTCATCCTGAAGTGCATTATGAATGAATTTGGAAGCCGAATAAAAGAACTGGCTGAGGTTGAAAGTGGGGAGATCATCTGCTTCCACCCCATGGTACTCCACACTCAGGCTGTTGTAATATTCTGGTCCTGTGTCCACGTTGCGCTGCCCGTGGGCCGCGTTGAGGATGTGGGTGAATCCCTCCTTCTCCAGGCTGTAGCGATCCAGTGCGGTTTTCCTGGCAAAACAAGAGCTGTCATGTAAGCCAAGAAGCTTCTTCAAGACTAGAAAAAAATTTAAGAAAACCTCTGATTTGGTATGTTCTAAATGTTAGTGAAATTGATAATACTTTAAAAATGCATCATTTACCATTTTAAGGATCTTAAGATATTGTTGTTCACTTTGAAGTTGTCATTCCTTTTGGAATTCCTAATTATCGCCCCCACGTCCTTAGAGCATGTTTAATATGAATTTATTTTCCTGTTTCCTTTGCACATAGACAATACTGGTTTCAGTTCATCTTGTACAAGAAGAAACTTCAGATACAAAAAGAAATAGAAGGAATTATCTAAAGTCAGGAAAGGAAATCAGTGGCAGAACTTGAAATAGGACCCATGAATGTCATTTTCCCCTTCTGTCCCATCAAATGATATTGCAGATGTAATAAAGGAGTCAGTAATATGTGAGTAGTAAAATCATCTGTGATTCAAAAAGTCTCTTCTTCCCCAAAAGAAGTTACTGAGTTTTTCTCCATTTCTATAAAAAATAAAAAAAAATTTTAAATCCCACCCTTGTATGACTATAACTTCCTATCACAACTCCATTTTACTGTCTTGTTTGGTGAAACCAGATGTCTAAAGCAAAAATAACTAGGTAGGCAAATTTGATATTAGCCTTCAGAGGAAGCTGGAAGTCATGTATTTAGCCAAATGTTCTCATTTGTTCTTGTCCTCTCTTCCCTTGGACAAGGAAAGTCAGAGAGGAGAGGAAAGCTTAGATTTGTATGTTTTCAATACCCTCTGTAGGTGCTTTAGGAAGAAATTCCTAAAAAAAATGTAGTTTGTGGCCAGGCATGTAAAAACTTTTTTTCTTCCTTTACAAAAAGCTTTTTGTTTGGGAGAGTTTTGTTCTGAAAAAGCTGTCAAGTTTCATTAGTGCTGAGGAAAACTACAAAGCTTTTTACAAAAAGTAAAAATGGCTTAGCCTTTATTCTGTTAATGTATTTTCACATAACTACTGCATGATATAAGAAAGCTTTTTCCAAACAGGAGTAGCTCTCTCCATGAATGTTTCCTGAACACTTCTCTGTGTAAATGTAGCTGCTGTCACACAGGACACTGTGGTGGGCTACCTGCTGTGTTTCATAATTCTAGTGGTGACAACCCACAATAGCTTGAAGTTGACTGTCTTTCCAACCTCTAAGTCAAAACCCCCCTCTGAGCAGCCAAGAACCTAATGATTAGACCATTTAACTGGGATATGGATACTGAACATTTTAACAATGCTTGCTCTTACTTGAATTAGGCCCATGATCACTGGGTGTTCTGAGTAGATACTGCCCTGCAGAAATTCCTTTCTGGTCAGGAATGATAGTGTCTTGACAGTACTGGTATTTTTGACATGAAATAATGTCACACATCCCTTACACAATCCTGTAAAAAGTAAATAAAAACTTCTCCTAGTGTGGTGATGCCTACCTAATATGTTCAGTAGACTCTGGAGGACAGAGAGGCAGCAGCATCCTGCTGCTAATGCTGCAAGTTGCCACCTTCACCTCATGTTAAATAATGCATACTCCTTCCCTTTGTATTCCTATAGCAGTGACTGACTGAGGAAGACTTTCCTTCTTCTGCCTCCTTTCAGGAGGTTTGTGCCTTAAGATTCCCTTCAGGTGTGTATGCTCTGTATGTACACATTGCCAGCAAGGACACTTCAGTTCTATACTGAAAGGATGGAAAGTACTTCAAATAAAACAGGTTAAATGTCCTGGCTGAAGTGTAAGGGTGCAGTGACGAACTTCTGCTCTTCCTTTTGATGTCCTTGAGGTGAGCTACAGTTCCTGCTTTCAAATTAAGCCTTTGTTTTACCTCCCTGCTGCTGGAATAGAGAAAAAGTGGTTTTCATTCATCAGACTTGCCCCAAAGCATGTATCCTACAAACCACGTAAGACTGAGGGCTTCAGGTCAGAACCCTTGCAAGTGGAGACCTACATCCTGAGTAGGAAGTAAGACTGCGAGTAGTTAGGGTCAGTAGAAAACCAAAGTCTTGGATGGACTGTAGATACTCTCACACTTTGGCTTCTGCCAGCACTGCTCAGTCTAATAAATAGCATTAGAATTAAATTATGAAGTTGTTGAGCAAGGACTGTGTCAAACAATAGGTCACAGTCATTAACATTTGACACTTGTTTTTATATGAAATCAAATTTTCCTGTTTCCTTGATTGGAGATTGCCTTTTGACACAGTGGGTGCAACTAATGCGTTTTTCTGACAGTCCCATGGTCTTGTTCTGTTTCCTAGGACCTGATTTTGCAATGTTGGGTGGCCTCAGTTTTCCAATAGGTATTCAGAAAGAAGGGATACTCTCAGGAACTTGCATAAGCATTGGCTCAGCCTGGCCAAGCTCCTCTGAACTTCCCCTTCCATCTCTGTCTTGCCTGTAGCGCATTCTGTGAATTTGAGGCCCAGGATGGAATTAATCATCCTCCTTTTATTTAATCACTTTAATCATTTTGCTTCATAAAAGATTAGCTGTTGTTTTGCCCTTGACCTGTTAGAGGTTGGGAATATGCACTTGTTACTCTGTTTGCTCCGTTTGTTTCCCAACTCAGGCTGGAAATGGACTCAAAAGCAGCAATGTATCAACCTTGAATGGTATTGCAAAAATTCATTTTAAATGCTGAAATGTAACTAAATCATCTTCTGTGAAATAATTATTTTATTTTTTTTTACAGCAGATTACAAATGTAAACCAAGGAATTTAGGCTCTGTTTTCCTCAGTGCTTGGGCTAGGCTGACTTTAAAATGCTTTAAAATGTTACCTGCTTTCTAATTGTGCTTGATATGCAAACTGATATGGCAATACCCTTTGGACTGAATGGAACCTTACTCAATAGAATTGGTTTCTTTAAAATATGGATGCATATTTTCTTTTTCCTACCGACATTGTTAATCTGAAAAATTTCCAGGGAATGAATGCTTAGTGCTGAGCACTCAAATCTGTTAAGTTCTGCACATTTTCACTGGAATAGCTATCACTCAAACTTTGTGTAGGTGTTGTAGAACCTGTTAGTGGAAGCAAGACCTAAAATAATTGCCCTAAGTGGAGCAGGGTCAGTACAGGTCGTGTGGCTAGAGGTCCTGCATCTGCAGGCCAAGCTAGTGCACACAGTCTGTAAAGAGGATGTCAGGCACCTTTCTTACACCAGATACCCTGGACACTTATCTGTGGAAAGCTTTTCCTAAGGTTTCTAATATATAATGTTGTGTGGAGATATGGAGAAACAGTTGTTGTGTAATAGAAAATAGGGTTCACTGGACTGCAAGAGGTGCTTGCCTTGGGCTTTAGAATCTGCATCTTTTGAAGAAAGCTGAAGTGACACTTAGTCTTTTTCAAGAGCAAGAATGCTTGGTTTCAAACCTAATAGGGAGATTAGATAGTCCTTTAGCTCTTTCGTCTTTCTCTATTCCCCCAGTCTTACACTTGATAATTATATTTTCATAAGAGATTTCACTACCATTCTTTGAAAATTTTCCTTTTTTTTCCCTTGTAAAATCTTTCCCCAAAATCTAATCCAAGAGCCCAGCTGGACCACCACTTGTCATACTGGCTCAGGTTTGTCTGCTTTTTACCTCCTGTCAGCCAGTACTTTGTACTTTGATCATAAACATTACCAGGCAGAGATGGCCTGTGCTGGGACCGACGCTGCCACAGGTAGGCAGTAAAACTTGGGGTCACGCTGCGTTTGCAGCAGCTTGGTCAGCAGTTAACAGAGCAAGAAACAGCCTGGTAAGGCCTCACGTGGGGGACCTGTGTGCCTGTAAATGGAAATGTTCCTGTGCCCCTCAACATGTTAGCTTGGACTGCCCGTAGCCAGCAGTGAGCTCTGGCTTTGTGAGGAGGACAGGTTTGCTTTCCACCCTGAGTGTGCAGTGTCGATGCTGTTGTGAAAGCATCCCTCTGCACACTGCAAGCAGAGCCTGTGGGGTTTGCTGTGTTTCTTCATGCATGATACTTCTGATTACACCCCAGGGAGAGGGGAATGCTCTTGGCCTTCCTTGCAATTTTTACCATGCCTGAGGTATCAGTATTGTAGGGGAAAGACAGAAATAAATCAGGCATAAATATCTGCAGATATCTGATTGGTTGAGGTTGCTAATAGCAAAGGATTGTTCAGGGGTATATGAATCATTACCTTATTGGAGAATTTATAACTCTAATTCACTTTTGACTGGAAAAGGCATTGTTTTTTTTCCCTTGCAGTTGGCTCACTACCAGAGCGTAATACTCAAGCTAACTACATTCTTCTTTTCCCCTCTTTGGGTGCTGCTGTTTCCTATTAAATTGTGATAAATTGTGATTAAATTGTCAAATTTTTGTGATTATGGTTGAATTTTAAGTAGCCATTGTAAAGAGGGGTTTGCTACAAATGCCAGTGTAGGTGAAGCTGTAAGCACTTGGCTACTCTTACAGTTGTTTTCATTTTGTATATCTCCACCATCTGTGCTATTAGCAATTGATTTCCTTTTACATGGTGCAGCTGTGGTCTCCAGTGTCTGTCTTGAATGTGTTCCTATGCAAGGAAGGTGAAGTGTGGCACTGGGAGATAACAGTGAAAATTTCAATGTAATTCAGTTTAGTAAGAGATGACCAGGGCTGATTAGTCCCATGTAAAAGCTCATCAGCTCTTCAGTTCAGAGCACATAAACTTATGCTAAAAGTTAAGTATACCCTGAAGTCCTTTTCTCTATGTTAAGCAAAAGCTCAGTGCCTAGCTGAATCTGACCCTGCATTTACTGTAGGGCAGATGGACTCATAAACATGTTTTTAAAGTTCTGAGGCAAGAGGGACTACTTTGATGTGGGAATCCCACCTCAATGGTGAAAACTGGAATGAAATCACTTTCACATATGGATATATTGATACTTACAGACTCACCAAAAGGGGAAACTGACCCAGACAAAAGTGTCATCCATTTTCAGCTGGTTCCCAAAAGACTGTTTACCTCTCTTGGGTTGTGCAAGGGCAAGTAGAAGGCTTGTCTGAGACTTTAACTGTGCTCGCTGCCAGTTTTATGGCTAAGTTTCATAGGATTAAGAGCAAGTGCTGCAGCAAACTCTGCATTCTTTTGAAAGAAACAATGTAAGTAGTTATAGCATGAAAAAGAATGCTTTATTTCAGGTTACTGTATCCAGTGTACCAAATCCCCACTCTCTTTTCAAAAATGCTCTCATAACAAGCTTTAGTCCCAGCTGCTTTTGTTAGAAAGTTGCCCAAATCAACAGAATTGGGAAGAGAGGGGGAAAGAGCTTGCAGGCACTGCAGCCTGCACTTTCACAGGCAGTATTAAGTATATTGAAAGCAGCTAACAAAGAGAATATATGGAAGCTCATGAGGAAAACGTAAGTACACCTAAAGGAAGGGAAGTAATCCTCCAGAATAGCTCAGGAGGGTGTGGGCAGAGCAACTCCCTCCCCAGGTAAGTCAGCACCTTACAGCTGGTACTGCTCAACAAGATGACTGGTGTGCTTAGCAATTTAAGTAGAGCCAAGCCTCTTAAACTTCATGTAAAGGTTGTGCAATGCAAACATGTTTCAATATAGACTGTTAAAGCCACAGATTGACGTGACCCAGATTGACAAAACACCAGGAAATCTGAGGCAACATGTTACTAGAAGAGGAATCGTCTCTCTCGAACTTTTCCATTTTCTTAAGCGCTAAAGGAAAGCTCGATGCAGGATGATAATTTACCAGATGGTCAGTGTCAGAAAGAAGCTTGCTGAATATAGGCAATATTGACACTTTCTTAAGAAAATCTGGCAGTTCTCCCTCCTGAGGAGTGATGTTGAGAATTTCCAATAATACTGACCCAATTTTCCTTGGTAACTCCAGCACTGAGGGAGTCAGTCTAGAGATAGTGTAGCATTGTATCCCCTTCTGAGGTGTTGCTCCATTTCTCTGGGCACCTCCTGTTCAGTGTGAATTAAAAGAATTTTTAGGTACCACTGAAAATACTGAACAGGATCGTAAGAATATGGGGTAGAAAATATTTAGTAGTTAATTTTCCTCTAGCTTGAGATGGTGGACGTAGTTTTTGTAAGTGATACAACCTAGATAGAGGAAATAGCTCTCTGCTTTCTGTACAGCAAAGGCACCAAGCACACGAGCTGTGGTCAGTCAGTTCCTGGTCTTGACTTTAGTCACTCATCAAATATAAGAAATCACTGATAGACAGAGATGTTATATGGAGAAGTGAAACTTGTCTTGGAAACCATTGGAGCATTGAGGTTTACTGTCCAGTGTTGAAGATCTGATTTTCTGGGTTGTTAAACTGCTGTTACAATTGGCAGGTTCTCATTCTACCCAAGTTAAGCCTATGTCCTTACGAGTGTTGTTGTAATCTGAATCTGCATTTACTTCTATTTTTAGGTGATTAATACTGGTGTAGATGCTAGGAGTTCGTAATGCTAAACGGTAGGAGGTAGCTGTTTTCTAGCCTGAGTGAGTCCCATCTGTTTTCTTCTAGGTTAGTGTAAATTGTCTTTTTACTAAGTCACTTGGAAAAAGCCGTACTGTATTGCTTCTCTGCAGAAAGGTAGGAGGAGAGAATGAGTTTTAGTTATGCATATATTTAGTGTTTAGTTATTTATCTTAATTATCATGCACTCCAAATTGTGGGTTTGTGTTTCTTGTCTTCCTTACTGGCATTATTTCTGAAGACCATGAGCTGTGGCACAGCACAGGCACAGACCACAGCTGTTGTGAATTGCAAACTCAGTTCAACGGCATACCCAGAAAATTATTTTTCATACTTGTAAAGAATTACATTTCAGAAGACTTCTTTTTCCTGGGAATAGTTTGAGAACGTGGCAAGACCTGAAATTGTGATCAGGCCTTAAATCCTAATGAGATCTAGTGAATGTTTAAGAGGAAAACAAACTGGGAGGCCCTTGTCTTCAGCTGAAATATTCTTTGAACTTCAGAAATGTGGAAACTTAAACACCATCTCAGGTTTCAAGGCCATCACTGAAGAGCTGCAAGAAGAAACTACAAGATGAGTAATTGGCAGAGATTTTCCATGTGATCCCAGTGAACCAAGTGGGCTTGGGATTTGCCAGTAAAACTGCCTGTGCAAGCAACCAGGTGGCCAGTAAAACAAAAGAGAAAGAAAAGACTGCTTTCTATCACTTTAGAAGACTTCTAAATATGAGGAGGATACATGCAAACACTAGTCCTGGTAGCAATTGAACCCAAATCTTGGCCAAGAGTGATTTATTCCTATCACTGGGCTGTGTCATACAAATTCCAGTATCTGGTCTTTAAAAGCCCTTGGAACTTGCTGGGGGAAAATTTCAATTGGAGCTGAACACAGCATGTTATATTTTGAGGCTTTGATTATTCTGGGTCTGACAGGCTCATAGAGATTTCATTGCCTCTGGGCAACATCTGCAGTGAAGCCTCGTAACAAAAGGATGGAGTGGCCTCACAGGGCTCCTTGATAGCCTGTATTGCATTAGAAGGAAGATGTGGTTACGTAGTCAGGGTAATTAATTAGCATTTCCATAAGCAGTCACAAGTCCTGTTAACCTTGTAAATGCAGGAGGCAGGAATGAAGCACAGATGTGCAGGCTCTGAAGATAAACTCCTCATGTGTGTTGTTCATTTGATTTTGTTGATGAGTTCCACCAGATTCTTTCAAGATCGACCTTAATTTAGCATGGCTAAAGATGCAAATGCACCCAACATCTGTTCATGGCTTGTGGCATCTCTTTGGCCACCAGTTCTAAAGCAAGATCTTAAAACAATACAAATACCCTGCCACTCTGAGGGAGTAAGCTGCTGGTCAGGAGTAAGAGATGGAGCTTTTCCCTTGAAGAGCCACTGTTTTTCCTCCTGACTTAAGACCAGTCCCGAGGAGAAACACACTGCCCAGCATGACAGGGTGTAGCTCTATGTACCTCTCCAGAAGCTTGTATTTCTGTTCCTCTGGCTAGTTTGTATGAAGTGTCAGGTGTGTGGTGTATTCAGTGTCACACCTTCTAGCTTTTATTAAATTACAAGATGTAAGAAGTCACTGCTACAGGAAGATTACAGGAAAGAGTCAGTGTCCGCTGTCCTGGGCTGAGAGACTGACGTCTCTAAATGGTTACATCCCTTTGCTCAGCGAGCACAGGTATAGCTTCATCATGGAGATTAGAGGAAAATTATTCTAACAGCTTCATTCAGAATAATTCTGCTGGTGATTCTAAACAAGGAAGAAGGAAATAAATGCCAGAAGAGGCTGTTCTTTATGGTGAATCTTGGGTTAGAAATATCTAACAGAAGGGGCAGGGCAGGATGTGGAGAGAAAAACTCAACCCCCTTTTCTTTTGTTCCTGAATTATTTGGACAGGCTGTTCCCATGGCTTCATTTTTTTATCCCACACCACACACACACTCTGCCACCCCTATCTCTAAAAGTCGGAGCTCTGGCTTGGTTCAAAACCAGAATTCTTGTGTCTTTCTGTTGCCTCTGGCGCCACAGAAGTAATTGGTGAATGATATTAGGAGTCTTGTAACTCTCAAAGCTGTATATCTTTCCTCTTTTATAAGCTGGCAACAGATGAATTTTAGAACCTTTTAAAAATTATTGAGAATTTTGGAGCCACTGGGGCTCCTACTTGTGTCTTTCAGTGATGATGTAAAAATAAATGTCATGTTAGTGCAGGATGTAGAGGAAAATGGGAACTGGACCAATAATGCCAAAGGGGTAAGAAAAACTCTCTTGCTCTGCTCAGAGCTTGGGCTGGGGGATTTTCTGATGGCATGTCTCCTGCTGCAGCAGTCTTCTCTGCTTCTTGGAATAGGCTGTTTCTAGTTTAGTCCTGTGCTCAGCAGAACTAAGTCTGTTTTGTGGGTTTGGTTTTTTTCCAAATCACACTTGGTCTGATCAGTGAGACACATCTCTGCAGCTTTGCCTTCCTTAGCGTTCTGTTTGCTTTAATCTCTTGAGCAATTTGGAAATGCACAGTGTTCTGTGTACACAAGCACAGGCTTGGAAATGCAGAAATACCACTGCAGGGTGAGCTGTCTCTTTAACCACTTTTCAAGATCTACATTTTAGACCCAAACCAACCTAAGGTGTGGCCAACACATCCAGACCATGCTCTGTAACTGTGGAACGACTTTCACTCAGACATAAATAACAAATTGCTCCTTGAAATGAGCCATTTAAAAATAGACCATGAAGAGTTTCAACCTCTGCAGCCTACACTGGTGTCACAACCAGTGCTGTCACTCTGTCTTTAACAGCAGACCCAGCTGCACTTATTCTGTGCTTTCCTGAAGCATCAGTAACAGCCAGGGCCATGCCAGGCTGTGATTGCTCTGTAGAATTCTGACATCTGCCAGTGGTTTCAAACACTTTGCTCTGTCGGTGAGCTGTGTTTGGAAAAGCTTGTTCATCCCCTGTGCAGAGGAGATGTACCAGGTGCACTTATCTGCTATGCAGAGGTGCTGTGTACACTTACTCATCTCCTATGTAGAGGTTGGGCCAGACTTCATTGACGTGTGTGTACTTTGGGCATCCCTTCCACAAGAGCCTCTCCAGTTCAAATGCCCCTGGGGTACAATAGTCTTCATCAGGATCTACTTTGACTGCTGTATATGCATTTTTCGTCCCAGCATTCCAGCTTCCTGATGACATCTTGTCCACGGAGTAGCGCTCTCAGGATTCACAAGAAGCTGGAATGCAACCGAAACAGAACATTAACCCAAGGAAGCACAAAGCAAGTGACTCCTGCTCCAGCTGTGGGATCCTGGCAGCAGCACTTGACTGGGTGAGATGGAGCATTGCTCAAAACAGATGAACCTGTTCTGTGGCAAACACAGACTTGCACCCTGATTTCTGCCTCCCCAGAATGAGGTGAGGATTTATGTTGTTGGATGAGCTCACAATGAAACATAACTCAAAAGTTTATGATTATTGACATTCAGTCTCTGCTGGGAATTTGTTTCCTGAAAAATCAATTGGCAAGACTTTGGTAGGTCTAACAGCCTAGGGATCTAAAGCGCCTAGGGAAACTGAGTGCAAATTTAAGTTGTTGGGGTTTTTTATCATTAACTAAGACCCTCCTAAAGGCTTGTCCTTTGCGATTTTCAGCAATGTAAGGAGATGAAATGTGTCTGTTCAGATGACTGTTGCATGTACTGTTGTACTGTCTTGTACTCTTCTTTTTCCAATGTTGCCAGCTGCAGATTTCCCTGTCTGCTGGGACACGTTCCCTGTGGGCTTTTTTTTATTTCTCCTACTGGACTCTTGGGTGTCTCAGGGTAGCAGCTGATCATATCTCTTATTCCCTTGAAGGGAGAAATTGAACCTTGTGGTTCTGTAAGAGACTCGTAACTGTGGAGTTAGGTTTGATCTTTGGAAGTGTGCAAGTAGAGCCTGCCAAAAATCCACCTTTCTTGCAGGCAATGAATCCTGTAGTTGCTTCCCAAATTTTTTGTGTTGGCTGCTGAGCATTTGTGTCTTTTTAATTCTAAAAATCTGGCTAATGCCTTCATGCAGCTATTGTAGAGCTCTCCTGAAAGCAGGATGACCATTTTTCACTGACATCCCATGTACCCATGGGGTTTGTTTGCTCAGTTTGGGCTCTTTTGTGCCTGTCATGTTCTGTTTCTCTACAAAGCTTGAAAAAGCCAAATGATTCCTGTTTTCCTACTCCAAAGCTGTGTAAGATTGTGGAGTCAGTTTTTGTTTGGCAAGTGTACACCTTTGTTCAAAAATTGGCTTGCTTTCACTGGCAAAGGGATCTATCTTTCAGCCAAGCTTCTTAAAACATGATGATGATGTTTAGCTAAGTGGTTCTCTCTTGAGATTTTTAAAGGGCTCTGAGAAGTCCAGCTTGTAGCAAATTTACCTTGGGCTTGTCTTGCATGCCTATGTGTAGTACCAAGTCCCATCTCTCTGCCCCAGTAACCATGCCCTGGGAGAAACCTTTTCTTCCCCATGCCAGAATTATGCTTATTCTACATGCAGACTCAGCAATGTAGATAATGTTTGTCTGTCAGAGATACAAATCTAAGACAGTCTGACTTTAGGAGTGATTAGGCTGTTATCTAGAAATTGATAAGAACTGCTATTTGTGTAGTAAGGAATTATCTTTACTGAGAGCCTGTTGCCTTGATGCTGAAGGAGTGCTTTTATTCATGGCTCCATAACATGGGCTGGAGGAAAGGAAGGGAAGAAGGGAAAGCAGTGTAATCAGTAATCACAGTTGGTGGCCACAGTGCATTGATTTGTTACACCTCAGAACAGGGCAATTACATCTGCAAATGATCATTTGTGGTACTGGAACACCGGCGCAGTTTGAAGCTTGGTTAACACTCTGAAAGCTCGACCACTGCTGAGAAATCCTTGTTTCTGTCTGGAAACAAGGAAAATTCTGTCCTGGGAAGCCACATGCTCCCTGAACTTTCAAGTACGCTATGTTCTTTTATGCCTTGCCAATGTTATCTGCTGCAGGGATTTTTAAATTGAATTAGAGCACAGGAAAGCATCAGTTGAAATTCCTGTAATAAAACATGTATTTCAGATTTGACTCTAGACTATGTAAGACATAACAGAGTTGAAGTAGGAGGAGGGAAAAGGGGGCAAAAGAGCTAGTTTACTACTTCAACCCTGGAAATAATTGTCATGAAGAATTTGGTTGGGAGCAGAAGGGCTTGCATCTTTCCAGGAATCAAAGATGTCTAACCTCATCTCATAGTAGTTTCTCTTCGTACACCAAGCAGAGCTCCAGGAAGACTATTCCCTAGGCCAGCCCCCTTGGAATAAAAAGTGAAAAGCAGATTGAATTTTTTTTTGAGTGGTTGTTCTTAATGCTGTTACAGGTATAAGGAATGAATGTTTAGTACAAGCCCAGGCAGGGAAAGCTCAGATTTCTCTGGCAGACTTGTGTGGAGAGGAGACCATTCTTGCAGAGCGTTCACTCAGTGCAGTCAGATGGCAGCCAGATTGCAGGGTTACCTCTGCACAGGCTTGTTTGGAGCAGGCTCCCACCACTTGTGGTGCTTCATGTGGGCTGTAGATGAGTTAGTGTAGGCTGAATGATGTGCCAGTGCTGTGCCAGCTTGGCAGTCCCTTCATGGCACTGTGCTGTTGGGGACACACAACCTTAGCTCACAGAATAGCCTAAATTGGAAGGGACCCACAAGGCTCATCCTAAATGGATGGCCCGGATGGAGATCGTGAGCCTGGCATTATTAGCACCTCCTTCTGATCAACTGAGCTAATCCCAGGGTCATATGGAAGCTCTCTGGAATAGGGACTGTCCTTATGTCCTTTGCATAAAGAACTCTGCACCCTGCCTGCTCCTCGAGATGCTGCTTCAGGACAGCTTTTTCATTCCACGGGGGAGGGATGAAAAACCAGCTGGCTGTGGAACTGCTGTTGTCCTAGAGGGCTCTCCCCAGCAGGAAGGTCTATGCCCAGCTTCAGGACATACTGAGGAACATAGCCCTGTATCTGGGGCCAGGAGTTCCCCCGCAGTGAGGCAGGGCAGTCTGCTCCTCATCCCACCCTTTCCCTGTGCCCAGAGCACAGCTTCCCTCTCATTCTGCTGGCCTGTGCCAAGGCCGGGCCGTGTGAGCTGGTGACACAGCTTCAGAAACCTTCCTGTTCCCTCTCTGTGTCACCTGTTGTGGCTGGGCAGAGCTGGGTGGGGGGCACACCTCGGTGCTCAAGCCTGTAAGATTCTGCCCGCTGAGCGTGGCATCCCGCGGGTTGTGCGGCTCAATCCAGCGCACAGCGCTGCCCGTGCTCCCCACTTCTGCTGTCATGGGCTTCATGGCATTATCAGAACAAGGATGATAAAAATCCAGTCATCTGCATTTTTATACCCTAATCTTTCTCTTCATAAATAAGACCAAAGTGCATGTTATCTAATAAATTTCATTTGTTAATCGCTTGGATGGCTGGAATATTTGTCCCCCTTGGGTTATATGTATATAAATGAAAATATTGTTAGTGATTTCACAAAATGGTAATTCAAAATAATGGAGAGTTAATCCTCTTTTCATTAGTGAGCCACTTCAGGACATACACTGTGGCAAATTACACTGCATTTTAAGTCATTCTCAAGTGCTGTGCACTAGAAAAAAAAACATTAAACTAGTTTTGCATTGATAGAAGTAATTGTGTGGCTAATTTGGATAAGCAGCATGCATTAGACACAGCAAAGGAATCTCTTCTTTATGTTCACTATCTACTCTACAGCTGCCAGATGGGATTTCTTATACAGCTCTTTAGCTTTTTTTTATTTTATTTTTAACAAAGCAGGGAGGGAGGAAAGAAAGTGCAAGGGGAGAAAAAAAAGAAAAATCTGCCAGTCTATCTGCTGTTTAATTCAGAGCATGAACACAGTCTAGCTGGAGCACTAATATGGCAGTGAAAGATTTGCCTTCTGCACCATGTTTGCAGTCCCTTGAACTACTCAAATTAACCCAGAATTTCGAGTAAGGCCCTGTGAAGTCACAGCACGTAGTGGCACATTTTTGAATTTGTTCATCTGAAGGGATGTCCAATCCCACCACAGAATTTGTAGGGGTGAGTTAATGCTTCTTTAAATGTCAGCCATGAGCTCTACAGTTTGGTAATCCCACAGATGGGGGAGGAAAACTGCTTTTTATCTAGAGGTGAGCATCAGAGCCTCGGCGGTGCTGTGTACACTTCTAATGCTGGTGTTCCCCATGTAGTGGAAGTTTTTGAATACTTGAGACTGAAAGCTATAAGTTGTTAGCTACATAACAAAATACTATGTTTCTTAAAATTTTTGGCTCAATGTGCTGTGCAAGCAAGCCCTAGTGCTGTGTATAAAGATGCCAAACAATTTGGCAAGATTTATGCCTGGGACTTAAGATTCAAATCAGCTGTAGAGACTTAAAGAGAAAAAAATCAGGCATGCACAGACAAGGACTGCATTTACCTTTGTCCTGTGCAAGGGCCTATATTTTCTTTCCTTTTCTGCACCCCTCCATGGCACAGGGGGTTCCTCCATCACTGCTGTTGTCTCCACCATATGTACTGTGGCTGCCAACTTATAGCTGTATTTGTGTGCCTGAAGTTCAGGTCTTCAATAAAGTCAGACCCCAGTGGTATTGGTATAAATATGCAATAACAGAGGCCAAACAAAGTAAAAAGTGGGGAAAAAAATGGAGAGAAGACAATTTTCCTTACTCTTTCCTTTACAAGTATCAGGTGCTCTGTCATGCTGGGCACAGGGATTCCTTGCCTTAATGCCCACTTCAGTCCATATTTATACAGCAGAATAGTTTAAATTCTTTGCCACCAGTGTATCCTGCTCTTGGAAGTTCTCCCAGCTCCCATGACATCGATCACTTGTGCTAATGGTGTTTCGATGCTGGCTGACTTTATTAAATTTAATTTGGTGTGCACATGTGTACAAGCCTTGGTTTTGTACTCAGAGCTGTCTAAAAGCTGCTTCTCCCTGCAAATACCAGGCAATCACAAATTTACCTGGTTTAGCTGGGAAGTGAAAATTTTTAGCATTTAGCAAACACCTAAATATACAACCTGTTTGTAAATACAGAGGCAGATTTTAATCTTATTCCTGTTCTGATGCTTTCAGATTTTTCTTCCTACCTGTTGTCAGCTCTGAAAAAGGTGTGGAACTGTGATATCATCAGAATTTTTTTCCAACATGCCAAGGGAAGGAAAGAAATCTACCTATCATCACTGAGCCTTTCATGAGGATTCTACAAAAGTAATGACATATCTACTGGACCTTATACCCACCTCACTGCAGTAGGAGATAAACATAGTGCCCTTGAAATTAATTAGTGGTTTGACCCTCAAAACTAGGGACTAACGTAGTTAATCTACTGCCATAAACACTAAATCCAGCAGAAGAATAAAAAAGAGAAATAAAACCCCAGCATTTTGATTAAGAAATCATTTTGTGCATGAAGAGCTTGTTACTAAGAAATTACTCCCATTTTCTTTTCTGATCTTGGATAGAGGGCAGACTTACTTGAAAGTTTTTATTTATCAGGCAGAATTCAATACCATTGAAGCTATTGGACTTCTATCTTCTAGGGAATAAAAGCTGAGACCTTCTTACCTTACAAATGATTACAGAACTAATGGTTTTATTTTTATTTACTTCCTTCTTTCAGTTTAATAACCACCTTAGATAAGAACTTCATAGAGAAACTGTATTTATAAAGAGTGTGTAGAAGAGGGAAGGACCCAAGAAAAGGTAAGGATGGAGAATACCAATTCTACACTTTCAAAAAATGTGCAGAAGACTTGAATCTAGTTAGTAAGCAGTCTTCAAGTAAGCACTTGCTCAGTGCTGAAGGCAGACAAAAATCAGATCTAATGACTGAGAATCTACAGAAACAACGAGGGAGGATCTACTCGGCAAGTTCTTGAATTTTTAAGAAATGTTCTGTTCTTCCATTTCCAGCCCACATGCCAGACGCATACCTCCCTTCAGGGTGAAAAAGTGCTTGCCCTTTTTGAGTATGACTAAGCAGAGGGCTGTTTTATAAACTGGAAAGTTCTTGCAGAAGCCAGTGCACATGTCTGGAGCACAGTGGTTGCACTTGGGAGGAGGGTAAACAGTGCTTTGGTTTCTAAGCCTTTTGTAACTCAGTGTACATGAGCTGAGAGCTGGCCAGCTGCAGTGACAAAAGCTTGCTCTGTCAGATGATTTAATGAAATTAATTGAAAATGGTGCTCCCTGATATGCTACCCCCGTGTAGTTTTGCTCAGACTCAGGAGGCTGACAGCAGCTGTGAAGAGCTGTGTGCTTCCCCTGTAACCTCACACCTCTCGCACCCCAGGGTACTGCAACGAGCTGTGGTGCTGCAAAGGCTCCTTGGGTGGTGGGGATGTTTCTTATTTTGTTGGGCTTTTCTTCCCTAACATAGGCCAAAAAAGTTAATTTTTTACAAATACTTCTTGTGATGGAGAAGTTTTTCAAAAAATATTTCTCTAAAAGACCCCAGAAAGAATTTACCAGATTCCAAAACTGGATTTGCAAGATATTTAAGCAAAAAGTACAATCCTGTGTTCCCTATTCCTGTCCAAGTCTTCACCAAAATTCATTTACTTCAGTTCTTTTATTTTAGCCCTGCATTCTTATACTTAAAGCATTCATGGACTATAAATTAGTCCATATAAAATCTACTGCAGTCATCTTTAAACAGCTTAAAACCAGAATAATTGTAGCCTCTGTGCAATTATTTCCCAGACCCTCCTGCTGTGAATATTCAAAACTAACCAGTTATTTCAACGAATTTCTAACCCACATATGACTTTTAAAAAAATTATTTTTGCCTTCAGTCTTTATTGTTGACTGGACTGGTTAATGGAAAACAGATTAAGCTGAAATTTTATTAAATATTATTAAAGTGTCCAAAGAAACTTAAAACACAGCATCATCTGAGAAAATTTTAATTCAACTGGAAAAACTAGATTTGACTGGAGGGTGGAACAATTATTGAAGAATAGGGAAAATATTCCATGACAGATGTTACAAGTCTTTAAAAATTGCATTTTCATTCCCTAACTTTTACATTGAAATTATCCCCAAGATAATGACACTTTCAGCACTTAATTTCCTAATTTATAAAGTGATTTCTGTAACACAACAAATTTAGTTTTCTAAAATTATACATTATACTTTCAAAACCTTTTTGAGTCTGTAATAATTTAATTTTTTTTTTCTCTGCAACAAGCTAATGAAATTACTAATTACCTCAGCAAGTTTTGTAGTTCTCAGCCCTCTCCCTCCTTTACTAAACAAGGTTGCAAAAGGAAGGAAAAAAGAGCAGAAGTACAGCAGAAAATGTATATTGTTTAGCCTTACCTGTAAGCTTAGGTGGGTGCTACAAGGTAACTGGGTCCTGTGAAGTGCAGCAGAACGACAAAAGAAACCTTACTAACTTTGCAACTAGAGTCTATTTTTAGAGGAGGATTTGCTGACTCTGACCTTGAGTGCTTCCCACTCCAAATGACGATCTTTTCATCTGCTGGTAAAACTATTCCCTGATGTGACCTGAAACATTAAACCTGGCAGTTTAGTTATCTAGTCTTGGTATGACTAAGATAACATGACGCCTGCATGTTGACCATAATAAAACAAACATCATCTTTGATGATGTCCCCTTGTCAAGGCTGATGCTATGTTTACTGCTGCATGTGGGTGAGGAGTATTGCACTGCTGTTTCCTGTCATGCTGTGCACAAGTGATTTGGCACTGGCACAGCAATGGGAGAGGTGTCATCCTGATAAGGTCCTTTTCTCTTGCATGTGCACCACCAGAAAACCATCTTCCCCTGCTTCTTATTTTGATTTTCTCCAGTGCCAGCACTTTCAGTACCCATCTAACTTACGAAATGCCTTTCTTTGCTGAGAGAGCGGCATGGTGCTCAGCATGGCTCAGTTCTGGTGACATGAGCACAGCTCACCAAAAAGAGGCAGAGGTGCACCCTCCAACCTTTGAAAAGTTCTCTACTTCCCTGAAGAGCTCCATGATTTCTTGCTGAAGAAAGCCTAAAATTTTCTCTAGTAAGTCACAGCCAGGTTCATCAAAGATTAAACCTGGGTTCCCTGATGTCAGAGCCACACCACTTCCATGCCAGTACTTTGTCTGCTGTGAGTGGTGACCTTCATGGCCACAAGGCTGAAGGTCTCAGGGATTGCACACAAGCAGCTGGTACAAAGCATCTTCTGCCTGGGGATTTGTTCTGCGGCAAACCCTGCCTCAGAGCTGCAACTCACACCACAGCATTAGGAGGAGATTTTGGTGCTGTTGGACACAGGCTTGTGATGACCTAAGATCCTGCTATCACATGAATATTGATATTTCTTAAGAGAAATTCTTCAGATCTTTTGCCTTCTGCCTGAGAGGGGAAAAAAGAGGCAAAGAGACCAGTCAGGGCAAGTGTGTGATACTGGAAGTAGCTGTTTGGTCTCTCAACCCTTTTACTTCTGTTGAGTGTTGACCATCCTAGGAATGATCTCTCTGAGCAGACCTGCATGCACTGCTTGTCTGTCTTTCTGCCTCACAGTGCTCACTATTGTCATACCAGTGCCTGCAAAAAGCAGCCAGCTATGGAAACCTCTTGTGGAACTTTTTTCATTTCTTGCAAGAACAGAAATGGTCTTCTGTTACTGCAAGTGCCTGTGTCCTACCAAAGATTTAGGTTGCCTGACCATTTTTTTCCAAAGTACCCAAATCTTAGAGTAGTGGCCATTAATTTTCAGTGGGACACAAATTCCTGACTCTGTCAGTTATTTTTCATGTTGCATTAAATCCTTTCAATTGCCTTTGCCATCCCCTGTCTGTTTAAAAGATAAAAGTTCGTCCCAGAAGGACCAGGGCCAGACTTGGTCATGGCCTGTGGCTAATGCTGCATATGCGAAGTAATAACAAACAGTTTCAGTTCAAGTTCTGGGCATTGTATCTGCTGCTGTTTCATGCTAACAGCATCACTCTAGCCAAGTTTCTGCCTTAGGGAGCAGCCAAGCTCCTCCCTGCCAATTATTCAGATAGTCACTCTTAAAATGAGAAAGAGCTTGGATGCTAGAAACCTGCTGTGCCATCTAGAATAGCTTGTAAGGTTGTTGTGCAAATTAATTCAATACTGATAGCAGAGCAACTTTGTGGAGGAGGAGATACAGATTCCATATAACAGAAACTAGCAGCAGTTGCTTTATCTTTATCCCTGCCCTGACCCAGTATTGGTAACATGGGGAAGATGATCCAGCAGACTGGCAGTGCTGGTGAGAGGAGGCTGCTCTGTGAGGTCTGTGTGCCCCAAGGGTGGGCAGTGGTCTGTTGCTTCTCTGACCAAGAGATCATCTGTCTGATGAGATCAATAGCATTACAACATTTTGTGGTATTGTTATTTTCAGGCAGGCATCTGAAAAAGAAGTATTTTTCTGTCTGAATGGCTGTCAAAACAATATGAGCCCTTGTTCCCTTCTCTCCATAAGGTCCTGAGAATATGTGCAGAAGGTCACTCACCTCCTGGAAAACTCACAGAATGGGTAAAATTGGAAGGACCGTATCTGGTCCAATCTCCCTGCTCAGGCAGGGTCATCCTAGAGCATGTTGCACAGGACTGTGTCCAATTTTGGGACTGGTTGTTTGTGTTTCTATTAGTTTTGTTTTTGTTAACGAAAAAATCCTAGCTGCTGAGATGTTTTGAGAGTAACCAATGACTTGGAGTGCTTTGAGCTTGGACACATAGAAAACACAGCAGGAAGGCTCTTATTTTGGAAGAGGTAAGCACTTGCATTCTGGTAAGTTGAATTGTTACCTCAGACTCCTAAAAACTGATGTGTGCCATGTTATTGGTAATTTCTGAAAATCTTGGCCAAACTGATGACGGCGCTTTGAACACACAGATCACCCCCTGTTCCTGGAGCCTTGCCTGCATCCAGCCTGCTCGTGTTCCATGTGCAGATCCCTGCTGTCAGGGATCAGCTCCCAAAGGCAGTCACCCACTGGTACCAGGTGTCACTGACACTTTCTGTTGAACAGGAGCATGGAACAGTGGGAAGGATAAGAAAGCACCATCCAGAGGGAAGAGCTGGGAAAAGGGGAGGGGAAAAAAAAAAATCTTAGAAGGAATGAGCTTCTTCCACAAAGGAAAAGGGAAAGAAATTGTAGATTTCTGGCCAGAGCACACTAGAGGTACAGCTGGAAAAATCTGACACACTGAGACTTGAAAATTTTATGTTAGTTTAAAGAATAAACTTTGAGTAAAGTTCTGCTTTAGAATACTTCCCTCCCCCATTCCAACTTGCTGAACTGGAAGACTTCCTCTTCGCTACAAAATATGCTCTTATTTGGAAAAGCTGGGTTTTTAACAATTTCATGGGAAGAATAAGTATATAGTTATATAATATTGTCCTAATGGACATTTGCAGCTGTACTGAGATGCTAACAGCATGCAGAAACCATTATGTTTCCAGTTGTTTGGCAAAAGTTAAGAAACCTTATATATATATATATTTTAAAGTTAACTGTAAAGTAAATCCAGATGGTTCTGTCTCACACAGACAAGCAGTCTTCAAACTAGACATGTAGTTGTAGCCTGGCTATAACTTGTTTTGATTACTGCAGATAGAGAGAAATGCTTTAAATGGCTGCACCCTTCTCACAAAACACTGCATGCCCTTGATTCTTGCTGAAGTCAACTGGCATTTACACTGCACTACATAAAACTTGTCTGACAATACCTAGCGTGCAGGAGTATCTCGCTGGGTGTTACTCGTTTAATTTCTCTTTATACTGAAGTATTGCTTAATGGCCTCCGTCAGGGTTGGGGCTCTGCTGAGACAGGCATTGCAGACCCATAAAACAAAAACGACAATTGCTGCCCTAAGTAACCTACTGTTTGAGCCTGAGTTTGTGCTTCTCTCTTCATCTCCCCGCTACGGATTGCCATAAATATTGGTTGCATGCTTATTTTTGATTGATGTATTCAGAGTTTTATTTGATTCTTTAATAAGCTCTGTCTGTTGTGTTCATTACTTCATTTCAGCCAGACGTCGGTTGTGTTGCTGCTATCAGCAGGGGAATCAGAATTATGTTGACTTGTGAGGCCATTCTGCAAATCAAATCAAAGGGTCAGCTCTGCTTCACAGAGCAACGATTTCAGTGGCTGAATGTTTTAAGTTGACACATTAAGGAGCATTTCTAAAAGTCTGAAAATAGGAGGAACTGAAAGGTCTATCAGAAATTATAGACCTGTGATATGTTACTTTTTAATGTTTTGTGGTTTTCTTTTTGTACTCAATAAGCAAACGTTCTTGTAGATAAAGGTTGATGTTGTTCAAGTCAGATAGTAGACACACTGTTTTACGAGCTTCTTGGGCAGTATTGTCGAGAGAGTAATTTGGATTTGACCTGATAGGAGTCAAATTTACTGGCCGGTGCATCTCTTGCTGTGTCTGTGACAGGGCTAATAGGCCAGCATCGTGGCTGTGTCTGTAAGAGAGTATGTGAGATGGGGACAAAGCAAGTTCCCTGGGGGTTAGGAAGGAAGGACCCCAGTCCTGAACAAGGCTCCCTGGGTTTGTGGGGTGAGGCTGGGGCCATGGCTCTGAAAGGCATTTTGTTCACTGTTCTGTTTTTTCTCTCACTGTCAGCAGAAAAAAATGTTCTGGGAGATTTGTGTTGAAATGGAGTAGAGATCCCACAGCATAGTAATGTGGAAAATAAGGATGAGGTCTTTCTTGTAACTTCCCCTTACTGAAGAATGCTGGGAACAGGGAAAGCCTGGGGCCCCAGATTGCTGACTCCCCTGTGCTCAGTCAGTGCTAAGGGGAAGGAAACCCTGCAAGGAGAGCACCTACCAGAGGAATCCTAGGCAGAGAGAGTACCCACTCATTCTGTGCTGTGCAGGGCATCCTGATGTGCTCGTCAGGCCCAAAAAAGGGGCATCTCCAATTGGTTAGTGTTTAAACTGACCTCTAAAGAAAATGGCATTGCCAAAAATCAAGGGAATTTTGTCCCTAATTTACCACAGTAACACACAGAGAATTGCACCTAATTCTCTTGACAAGAGAATTGGGAAACTGACACAGTCTGTTTCTGCTCTTGCTATTTGTGGGGATAAAAAGCTCTTTTTCTTCTACTTCTCCGTATCATTAATAACACATTGCTGCAGAGGTTCCAGAAATGTGTGGTCCAACCTATTTCCTAAGCATAGCACACTTAAAAAAATAAACAATAATAGTAGATATTTGGTATGTAACTCTGATCAGAAAAATTGTCCAGACATGTTGAGAGGAGGTTTCAGGTCAGAGTAATCTCATGGTATATGGAGTGCCAAATCTAGACTTAAATAGAGCTGGGAGACAGAAATTGGATTGATGTTTGCAGTCCACTTGGTACATGCTTCTGGCTTGCTGGCAAGGCAAATGGAGAAACACCAGATTTGCCATGCTGGTGCCATTGGTCTGGTGTCTGTTCCACTGGCTGTGGTCAGTGACAAACCCATTAAAGGAAACTATATGAAATCTGTGCTCCCCACTTATGGGATAAATTTTCTACCCTTGAGAAAATCTGTTTACTCTTCCCACTCCACCTCCTTAGATAAAGCTTGGCTGAAAGCCTGAAGTTTTACATTTTTTCCAAAACTATTTATTTTCT